GACTACGAAAGGTTGCAGAATATGAGCGCGTTCTGCTTCATTCATGATAACTTGATGATGATTACAGTTTTCGCTGTGGAATGGTGAATGTCGTAAAGTTAGTCCAATTCTTCGTGAATGGAAGATAATCTAATTATGAGAATAAATTCATTCAGGGTAGAATCAGCAATTTACATTGATTTCAGAATTCAATGAGTGTGGATTAAAATAAAGGTTGCTAATCGAACTAGGTGCAAAGAGTATATTTGAAAGGGTATCGAATTGTATAACTAGTCTTAGCAAGCTTTCTAATAGCCGTCCATCCTTTTTCGATTACTGTACGATCACACCCGGCATCAACGAAATCCTTCGTTACGACTTTGTCAAAGGCTCCTGGATCAACATTGCCACCTTTGAAATAGAGTACTGGTGCTGACGCAGCCCATGCGCTAAATTTCGTCATATCAGATTATACTCATAATCATTTAAGTGCATAATCATGATTGACAGTAATTTTCATGAGATTAATCGTTCCTGAAAGGATCAATCTTAAGAATGAAAATTATTCGATGAAAGAATCAAGTAAGTTCTTCAAATACCCGTCAATAATATGGGGATATTTGATTCGGAACCATGCAGCAAGCATACCGCCATACGATCCTCCAAAAGCTATCACCGGCGCCTCAGTGTCGTTCAGAACATTCGCCTTGTAGTAGGGCAGAAATCTTGCATAATCAGCCAGTGCTTGTGTTGACGCAAGAAAGCCGAGCTTTTTGACGTTCTGAAGCAACATTCCGAGTGATTACTGAGCAGATGTGTTCATAAAATGTGTAGACACATCAAAATTTTCGCAGATCTTTTATATAACTTGTTGATCTTTTTATCGAAATCTTTTATAACTTGTTCATGATTGAACGCGATAGCCATCATTTTTTGCGAACGAAACTTCTCCCGTAAAAGTGGAATTTAATTCTCACTACCACTTTGGTTCAATCTTAAGAGTTGAGAAACTGTGAAAAAATTTCATAATTGCAAAAAAAATTTCAGATTTCGACTTCTCCATACCGAATAGCTTTCATTACCGAACGGTTGAGATACGCCGTAGTAACGATGTTCTGCGAACAAGATGGACGCATTAAATAGCGGAGCCAAATCGAACATTATTCCCTGAAATTAATCGAATGGTTTTCATTAAGTATCTTTTGTATGCCCCCAATAAATGCAGCTATTTAATCTACTGGATGCACTCTTATAATCGTACTCATATTAATGAAAGGGGAGTTCGAATTTTTCAGTGACGACGCTTGACTTTCACATTATGATCGCATTGCTGATAACATTACGAACTTATTCAGAATTCAAAACTATTGGGATTGAGACTTGAAACGCGACTGTCTTTCATCTTTAACTGGAGACATGGTGCGATAGCGATTAACATTTTG